TTGATCGATCTAAGGATTCGTTGATAGGCATTGGGATTTCAAAGGTGGCTTCTACGAGTTCAAGAGGTGGCTCCCGCCTTATGGTATAGCACTTTGTCCCGCATAACACTTAGTTCCCAGACCAGAAAAGTTTAAAAAGATTTGATATGTATTACTCATACCAACAAGGTGCACCTTCTTTTCCGGAAGTCTATCGTTAGAAACTCTATAGTTAAGCATGCTTGGCTTGGAGCAATTCTATTAGGGTGACCTACTGGGAAGTTTTCTTGGGGAGCATGCGAGTGAGGATAAAGCATACTGAAATGACTCATGTTGGTACAATGGGGACAGTACGTCGTCGATCTAACGACTGGGACAGTCCGTTAAGTGGGACCCAAGTCGTTGCAAATGGTATCAGAGATATGTTGCCAGCCGAAAATCGGGAACTAAGTGCTATGTAGGACAAAGTGCTACGCGATAGGGCGGGATGCACCTCTTGAACCCATAGGAGCCACCTCTAGAATCCCAACACTTGGCAACGGATCCTCATATGGATCAGCGCGACAAGGACGTCGCGAGTCTAACGGGGGGTGATTTTAATACCCAGACCAGGAAAGTTTAAAAAGATTTGATAGGTACTACTCATACCAACAAGGTGCACCTTCTTTTACAAAAGTTCATCGTTAGAAACTTTACAGTTAAACGTGCTGGCTTTGAGCAATTCTATGATGGGTGGCCCATTGGGAAGTTTTCTTGAAGAGGGTGCGAGTGAGGATAAAGCATGCTGAAAAGACCCATATGGTACAGTGGGGACAATAGGTCGTCGATCTAACGGCCGGAACAGTCCGTTAAGTGGGACCCGGGTCGTTGCAAAGACTATGAAAGTTTAGACCTTTGTAGCCAGGACTCATACTAGCTATGACATCTATATTTTGCTAATAATACACATAATTTACAACACTAAAAGGAATGCATGAATCAATCATTCATTTCATATAGTAAGATCCCATTTTTCTATAGCTTCTTTACTCTTAAGAACACTTTTAATAGTATGTTGGTTACCAAGTCATACTCATGGCATGAAGTACGAACTAATTCCTTTTTGTTCTTTTAAAACTTTAGCTTCCACTCATTTTTCTTTCACTTTTACCCATAACTATACCCTTTCCTTTAAAACTAGGGAGGGTGATTTTCTTGAACATCATTATTATGCAAATCTAAACATTAGCTCTTCTTGTTCCCTATAATAAGAACTATGTGGATTACACTCTTCAAGAACTTCTTGAGTTTTACGCTTCTTTGCAGCAAAGTTGTCCAAGTTTTTTTTCATTTTGAATCTTACATCAGGAGGTATTTTACGACACGAATCCACTAAAACCACCTCCAGCAAAAGTCTTTCCACAATACAAGCAAACCAATTTCTTTTTATTTCCAATAGTACCAGCTTCAAGAATCTCTTTACAATGTACCCCATGCTATATATGTTTTTCCTCTAGCATGACTTTTTGGTGGATAAGATTGTGGTGTACTATTATCACCAATGAACTATACAAAGACACAAATTATGTTAAATTGTATATCATTAGGACAACCACAAACAATTGGAAGCATTAAGAATTTGCGACACCAAATGATTCAACCGAATATTAAAACTTCTCCATCTCAACTTCTACTCTCTAACCATACACAAATCATGTTGAAAAAGAAAAAAAATTCTGATAATTGGGTACCTTTTTTTCCCTGATGTTTCTCTATTTCACAAATGAAGTCCAAGATTATGTAATTATTGTATTCACACCAAGTTTTGGTCTCTGCGAGGACAAGTTGCTTAGGGTATTGTTGGATTCTAATAGAAAAGAGAAGCAATTGAGTATCTCAGTGCCGCTCTGATAAAATCTATAACTAATGTTACTTATACCTCATGATAATGTTATCTAGAGCTTGTTTGGGAGAGATTTTTAGGGGAAGAATTGATTTTGAATAGTGATATGATGGGAAATGTATGGTTGAAAAAGAAGAAAAAATTATTGATGTGATGGAAAATATTATTTTATTGAAAAATGTGTGGTTGAAAATGAGAATTGATTTACTGTAGAAAAATTTAATTCCTCTCAAACAGGGCCCTAGTCTCTTTTCTGCATTTTTTCATGAGACTTGAATTTCTCTGTACCATTGTTTTTAATTATGTGATGTAGAATTATGTACTATTGAAAGTGGCTTAAAATTTAGAAATTATCAACATGACTCGATTCTTTTCGCAGGGATGTAACAGTACAAATTAGTTTCAGAACCAATTCTTCATTCTATTATCTATATACTACTTCTGATTACTCAAAACACTGTCTTGTAGAGGCTTGAAAATTGTATTCTTGAAAGTAAATTTATTTTCACTAGTTAACCTTTTGAATATTAATTAGTTTTAATCCATCTTGAGCATCTACCCAAAGCTACCTAGACCACGGTCCGGTTCGACGGTTTCCAGATCGAATTGGCCGGCTTGGGTTTAATAACCATGGTTAAATGGCAATATTTAAAGACAAACGTACTTTTTGTAGCTTAAATACATTTAAAGACCAACCTTTTTTATGACTGTGTGAACGAAAAACTCTTTTGTCATTAATTAAACGTCAATGTTGACCGTTTTAATTAAAAAAATAGTACTGAGTGTGACAATACGTAAATATAAAGAACCTATTTGTTTTAAGGATTTTGAAATTATAAGTTGATGAATTTTATGAATATGCAGTTAAAAAGGTGAATAAAATTCTTATATTAATTGAAATATACGATTAAAAAGTTTGACAAACTTATAATTTTGAAAAATTGTCATATTGGAGGTTAATTGACCATGAAAAAAAAAAAAAGGGGGAATTTATGTGAAAATAACATGAAATTGTAGACCCCCACATAAATAACTAAATGAAAGGACAGTTGATTCCTTTTGTCCCTATTTTAAAAATGCATTGCCGCATAATCGAGACACGTACAACAAGGTTGTTTTGGTTTGGTAATCTAAAGTTGAATTTTGGTAAACTAACATTCCTACCCATCTTATTATAATTGATCGCCAGATTTTAGAATTCAAATTGCCTTTTATTCATACATTTCCTCAATTTGAAAAATAATCAAATTTCTGATGGGGATCGAAATAATATTTTTTTCATAAAAACTAATAAAATGTGTGAATGAAAATGTATGAATCTCACAAGACATATGATTATCATATCAATTTGTTAAAATTTGTCAAAGAATGTAAAAACTAAGGGCTCATTTGTTTGTGTTTCCCTTTTGAGCTTTGAATTCAATTTCAGTTTTCAATTGAGTCTTTTTTTTAAATTACTAAAAAAGTGTTTGGTTTGTCGTTTTGAAAATTATTTCTTAAAACAAAAAAATAAAAAAATAAAACACGTTTGTAGTATTTCGTAAAATTTGATTATTCTGTAGAAACAGAATAATTTTATGTTAATTTATTATCAGGTAATATGTACATTTTAAAGTTGATAAATTTTATAATATTTTTTTTCGCTACAAAAGTATAATAAAAATAAATAATAAATTAAGTTCAAAATATAGAAAATTAAAATTAAAATTAAAATTAAAATTAATGACGTGGATTAGAAATTTTATCTATATTTATTTAAATATTTTTTAGAATTTTTGTATAAAGCTTGTACTATTTTTATTTTTTATAATTTTTATTTTTTTTAGAAATTTTTAGAAATTTATTTTTTCATATTTTTATTTTATATATTTTTATTTTTTTAATTTAAATTTTTATTCTTTAGAATTTATATCTTTTAAAATTTATTTAAATAAAATTTTATTTAAACGCCTGTTTTTGATGTTTGGAGTGTTTCAGAATTTTCACTAAAAACACTATAAATGTCAGAAATGTGTTTTGAGTTTTATGTTATAAATTTGACTTTGTTTTCAAAAAGTCATTTTCAGAAATACTAAGAGCTTGTTTGGGGATGATTAAAATTCAATTAAAATTGAAAATATAGCAGTTATTGGATCCCACTGGTCTAATAAAAGTCAACTACAACGACTATATTTTCAATTTTAATCTAACTTTAATCTCTCCCAAACAAACTCTAAGCCAAACATATTTTCAGCTTTTTACAAAATTGAAAACAACACATAAACTATGTATTTGTAAAATAAATAAATAAATAAATAAATTATGAATAAATAAAAAAAGAGAAGAAAATGATGAATGTTCATTTGGTGTAAATTTTGGTACAATGATTAGAGATAATTTTCAATTGAATAATGTCGTGAGTACAGAAAAAAAAAATAGTATTGATACAGATTTTTGAATTTCACTCATACGGGGTAAGCCCCATGTGATTAAAATATTGGCAAAACCCTCGCACCCCACCCACTGCTGTGTGTACTCTGTCTCTTGTACCTATAGCACGGTTCTTTCAATTAAGTGCGAAATTTAGTGTAAAATGATGAAAAATTTATCTTAAATTTTGGTGCAAGATCGAAGGCCTAATTTAGTTGAAAAACGGAGGGAAAATACGTCTACTGATTTTCTTCTCAGGGTAGACAAGACAGTCCATGTTCACACAAAACATTAAAAACTCATCAACATGCACCGTCCTCGTCTATCATAACGCCCATCGCCGCCATCTGTACGATCTCGAATCCTCGATCCTCCTCCTCTCCAGACGCTCCCTCCGCTACATTTTCAACACTTCCACCTCAATCCTTCTCACCAAACCTAATGCAGCCGTTTCTGAGTTTTTTTAATCCTCTAACACGACAACTCATCAATCTCCTCTTTATAATATATTCACAAATCCAGTTTTCAACATTTTTTTCCTTTTTGAATTCTTTAGATTGGATAACCAACATTTTCACATCGAAAAACTCAGAAAATCCTCCAAGTCTCTCCAATCCAGCCCCCAGAAAGAAGAACAGCTCCAAAATCTCCTCCGTCGCCAAAGCCCATCACTGTAGATAACAGTAACACTAGTACTAAGTCCGCCTCCGCCTCTGCCTCCGGCACCGTCATGACTTCATCGTCCTCTACCTCCTCCTTTCCTTCACCGCCCAAAGACGTTATCGTCAAAATCAACGGCCAGGATTCCTTCAAGGAACCAACTAAAACTAGCGAGAATACTAGGACTACTACTAATGCCGGTAGAATGTGGAGGGATTCTAGCTACGATTTCTCAAACGACGTCGTTATGAGAGCTGCCGCGAACAACGAGAATTTCGATTTCATAACCGAGTCTCCCTTATCTCGTATAGCGGAGAGTCCGAGTACCAACTATGGCCAGATGACGCCGAGGGAGGTCCGGGTTCCGTTTAACGACAACGCGGCGGAGACGGTTCGAGGCCTAAACCGCAGGTCCAACGCTGAACAGGAGGAGGTTCTAGTATGCAGCTCCAACTCATCTTTCCGGAGAAAATCTAGTTTGCTTAGAACCAAAACTAAATCCCGATTACTAGACCCACCGGCGAACAATCAGAAATCCCAAAATCAGAGAAATACAAAATCTCAGTTTTTAGATAAAGGAAGTGAAATAGATGAAGACGACCCGTTTCTAGATGAAGATTTTCCGGATGATTACAAGAAAATGAAGTTCAGTGCACTTTCGATTCTTCAACTGGTGAGCTTGATTCTGATTGTCGCAGCTTTAGTTTGTAGTTTAACCATTAATCCTTTGAAGAACAAGGAAATTTTCGAATTGCAATTATGGAAATGGGAATTGATGGTTTTGGTTTTGATTTCTGGAAGATTGGTATCAGGGTGGGGGATTAGAATTGTTGTGTTCTTCTTTGAGAGGAATTTTTTGCTGCGTAAACGGGTTTTGTATTTTGTTTACGGGTTGAGAAATGCGGTGCAGAACTGTATATGGTTGGCTCTAGTTTTGATTTCTTGGCAATGCATTTTCGATAAGAAGGTTGAGAGACTTACGGATGGGAATGTTTTACCTTATGTGACTAAGATTTGGGTGTGTCTCTTGGTTGGGACATTGATTTGGTTGTTCAAGACCCTGCTCGTGAAGATTTTAGCATCCTCGTTTCACGTCAGCACGTTTTTTGATCGGATTCAGGAATCTTTGTTTAATCAGTATGTCATTGAGACACTGTCTGGTCCACCATTGATAGAGATTCAGCACGAGCAAGAAGAGGAGGAGAAGGTGATAGCTGAGGTTCAGAAGCTTCAGAGTGCTGGGGTGAATATCCCAGCTGATCTTAAGGCAAACGTGTTTCCCAAAATTGGGAAAGTGTTAGGGACGCCCCGGAAGAGTCCCATGGCTACAGGTGCAAAGAGTCCTGTGTTTTCTCGGATCACATCAAAGAAGGAAGATGAGGCTGGTATAACAATTGATCATTTGCATAGGCTGAATCAGAAGAATATTTCGGCTTGGAATATGAAGAGGCTGACTAATATTGTTCGGAAAGGTGTATTATCGACTCTGGACGAGCAAATACAGGGCTCAACTGATGAGGATGAGTCAGCCGTGCAGATCACTAGTGAAAAACAGGCTAAAGCTGCGGCCAAGAAGATCTTAAACAATGTGGCGAAGACTGGATCAAAGTTAGTTATTTTGTGCATAAAGTTTTAGATTTTAACTTAGTTTATTGGCAGTAACTTGCTAATTTTTAAGTTCTGCTTCCAAATTTATTCATTTCTTAATTTACATCATTTATTTTCTTGCTTGGCAATTTGAAATTATACTGTCAATGTCATTATGTTCATTCCATCGCTTGGGTGCATCGACACAGATTATTCCGACCTCTTTAAGCAATAAAAAGTGCCAAGTAGATTATCAAGGTTAGAACTTGAAGGTTCCCATTTGAACCAAACAGCCAAAAACTCCGACATCTGCTCAAGACATCATGAATTCACTTTAAAAAATGTAGAATAGCACACGATCTATTTATAGAAAGATTTTGCTACTTGTACATGAAAAATGTACATAAGCGATTACCGAAAATGACGTGGAGAGAAAAGATTGGATGAAAAAAGTTGATTGTCTTTTAAATTGGCAAATGGTAGACTGCCATGTGGCATTATGTAAATCATTATGTGAATCTTGATATAAATGTAACAAGATCTCTTACAGAAAGTCCAACTTTAGTATTATTTAAATGCTCTTATGAATTTCACTTGTCTGTTGATTCCAATTTATTTATGTAAACTGTATGATTTAGTAGCTTGTCTTTCTGTGATTAGATTCATTTACCTGGAGGATTTGATGCGCTTTATGAGAGAGGATGAGGCTTTGAAGGCCATGCGCCTCTTTGAAGGAGCAAACGAAAACAAGGGGATAAGCAAACGAGCTCTTAAAAATTGGGTGGTAAGTAAAATTATATCCTTTTTACCCCTTTTCCTTCGGGATCTTATCATCAGTTCAAAATAGTAATATATATCTGGTCCATTGTCAAATGAAGTCCAAATTGTGCTGCTTCTGCATTAGCAATGGTGACCGATAAGAGATACATTTGCATAAAATCTAAGAGGCCTTACTTTCTTGTCCATGGTTATACGAAAAAATACCTGTAATTTATGTGGGGGGAGACGTGGGTAGTAGGGACTGGCTAAAAGGAATGGTTGGGTGAAGAAGAATGGTGTGGGAATATTTGGATTTTGAAAATACTGGAGGTACGTATATATGAGTTTGGAATGAGGGTTTAATTTCATTTTCTCTCTCCAACTCAGTCCTTGTCAAACAATAATCTCTTGTAGACATTCTTTCATGATATGAAATCTGTATCCTAATATTTCTTAAGGCCATTTTGTTGGGGGAAATGGAGATGAAGTTCAATTTTAATTAGAATTTTGAAAACCTTGACCAAGACCACGTGTGCTATATCGTATAGCAGAAAGTAACGAACATCCTTTTATCTCGCTGGAAGTACTATATCGATGCAAGAACTAGATAATATGGCCTTGTGGTACCGTTCAATTTTATGATTAAGTTAAAGGATCTCCAGCAAAAAGAAGATAAACCTCGAGTTTCTTTCAAGATAATGTTTACTGGATCACATGCTTGTCATATGTAATCTGTTAAAGCAAAAAAGTTAGCTGTCCAAACCAGAACTAACTCTCGGTCAAACTACGACAACTAAGGTTAGTGTCTTCCAAGGTATGAGTCTTTGAAGGGTTGTTCTTTAGTTCGTTTTTAATCCTTGATCTCATTTCCTGTTAAATGTTTCTCATTGTCATGGATTATATCCCTAACTTCAAAAGCAATAATAAACACAATGAAATAAAAAAACACACACAACACAAACACACATATTTCACACACATTGCTGTCTTGTTTACTCAAAAGATGCCTGCCCCTAAAATCCTTTATATATGGTAGAAATATTTGGGTGACCTAATAAATATGTGGATTATTCAATATAATCCCTCAATAAAAAATTTGCTTTGGGTGCTTTACCCTGAAATATGGAAGTTGGAGGAAGCATTATTTGTTAGATGCTCTACTGTTGAAATGTTCAAAAGAAAAATTTAGCATTATCTTCTATGCTCGATCAAAGACTGCAATTCATGTATGTATCTATGATAGGAAAGGCGAAATATAAATGTATTATAACTTTTATATCACTTCTATGAAAAAAATATTACAGTACTTCACTTATACTTCAGGTCAATGCATTTAGAGAGAGGCGAGCCCTAGCTTTGTCTTTGAATGACACGAAAACTGCCGTCAACAAATTGCACCAAATACTGAATGTCCTTGTGGGAGTGATAATAGTTGTCATCTGGCTCCTTTTACTCAAAGTTGCAACTACGCATTTCTTTATCTTCTTAAGCTCTCAGCTTCTTTTGGTTGTGTTCGTGTTCGGGAACACGTGCAAGACAATGTTTGAGGCTATTATTTTCTTATTTGTGATGCATCCGTTTGATGTAGGTGACCGTGTTGAAATTGATGAAGTTCAGGTAAGATTTCTTGCTAGCAAATTTATTTTCTTTTGCATTAGAATCTATATGGCTGAGCATATTCCTTCATCATTATTATTATGTTTGTGCTTTGTGTAACTTTTTTTTTAATTTATTTCAGATGGTAGTCGAAGAGATGAACATATTGACAACGGTTTTTCTGAGGTTTGATAACCAAAAGATTTTTTATCCAAACAGTGTTTTATCCACAAAGTTCATCGGTAATTACTATCGCAGTCCAGATATGGGTGATGCAATTGATTTTGTTATCCACATTTCAACTCAGGGGGAAAAGATTGCAATGATGAAGGAGAGAATAACAAGGTACAAATATTGCTTCATGTACCTCAAAGCAAGTGGTTGTTTCGCTTAAAAATAATAATTTCTTTGACTCAGAAACAAGGAATTTAGTTCCTGTTTGACACTCATTAATATAATTTATGGTTTGCTATATAATTATTTTCAACCATACATTCACACAATAAAATATTATATACATATATAAAAAAATTTTCTTTACTTTTTGATCACACATTCTTCTAAAAATTATTATTCAAAACTCTTTTTTCTACAATAATGATTATCAAACAGGCTCTTAATTACTTTTTTTCATGCATTAATTTTTTTCACTTTAGAGTAGGAAAAATATTATGTATCCATTAATGTTTTTTAAACATTGCTCTAAGCTTAAAAGTTATTTTTACATTTTTTGCCAAACATGTCAACTAGAAAAATTACAATTAATTTTTAGTTCAAAAGCTTACTTCTTTTAGTTTTATACTTCTCTAAAATTACTTGCATTTTTTTAGGATTAGCCGAACATGCTCTATGTCTTGCCTAGCTATCTATCTCTCCATCTGACCGTACATTACTAAGAGATATCAGTCTAATATGTCATGTTTTATGTCGTTATGGCCCATGCAGATATGTTGAAAGGAGGAGCGATCATTGGTATTCGTCTCCACTGATAGTCATAAGAGACGTGGAGGACATGAACAAGTTGAAATGGACAATTTGGCCTTTTCACACGATAAATCATCAGGATATGGGTGAGAGGTGGTCAAGGAGAGCCCTTCTGGTTGAAGAGATGGTTAAAATTTTTCGTGATCTTGATATTGAGTATCGATTGCTGCCTCATGACGTAAATGTACGTAACATGCCACCTTTGACATCGACCAGGCTTCCATCTACTTGGACCACATGCGCTCCTTGTTGAGCTTTGGCCCTTATTTCGGTTGTATGGGGCGAGGAATGAACAAATTAGAACATTTAAAACTCTGTGGGTTTGCATGTCCATAGGTGTACATCTCTTATTTCTAGTTTAAACAATTCTAGTCTACACTTTATTAGAACAAGCAGTGTAATATGAACAAATATATTATTGAGTAGAGCTTATACTGTTTTAGCTCAAGGAATCTACGTTGTATCTTTAAACAAATTTGCTCATCTTAGAATTTTTGAAGCTAGCTAGTCTCACTTTATTTATGTACATACATACTGTTGAATTAAAATGCGTTCGCGAGCCCACACCCCCTTCAGGCGAAGTCTAAGAATATGCAAAAATAAAAACAAATGTAGAAGAGCTTGCGGAAGAAAAGGGTGAATCATTCCCTTGAATTCCAGGTTAGAAAAAATCGTTAATAAAGTACACGTGAGTAAGTATTTAAATTATGAATTCTAATCCAATAAACACAGGACACGTAAGGTGGTGAATAACACGTGAATGCATAACAAAATTCACCATTAAATGACCATCACTTGTTATTTTCTAGAGTGATCTAATTGTCCCAAAACCTAGGAGGAAATTTATAAATACTCCCGTTGAGAGGAAGAAGATATGCAAATTCAAATATCTCCCTCCCAAATAGCTACTCCTGTTCCAGAATCAAAATCGGAGAGTATTAGAGGAGAAAATCTTGGCAAGGAGAGAAATTTGTTGGTGGTAACTTTATAGTAAAAAAAATTGACGCCGCCTATGAGAAATTGAGCAAAGAAAATCATCGAAAGCTTTTCTCAGGTAATCCAACGACCCTCCCTTCACACTTAATACTACAATAACACGTATTGGACTGACGGTGTTACTAAATTCACTTTTATTATTAGGGAGGTTGTGAGTGTTGAGGACATCAAGAAGTACTTGGAGCATGAAGTTTTTTCAAGATTCGGTCAAAGGCCATTTGAGATAGTTTATGTGCAAACTAAAAAATAGAAAATTTCCCTAGAATTTCTGCATTGAAATATGTTAGAAAATTAATTGTAGAATATAATATTACAGATTATACAGTTTGATGTATACTGGGGGGGCACGTGCCCCCCTCCCAACTGTTGGAGTACCAATATCTGAAAAACATAAATTTTTTTTTCGAAATTTTACATCTGAAAAAGTTATATCCCATATAAATTTTCGGATGCAAAATTACATAGGGTATAATTTTTTTGGAGGTAAATTTTCGATTGTAAAATTTCTCCCAATTTTTTTACAAGTTCAATTGTGTCCCCCTAACTTTCAAGTTCTGCGGCTGCCCCTGACTATGGAATACGGGTTCGAGAGTGATCACTCAAGAGCATATGGAGCTCCAGCTATAGACTCCTTTGTGTCAACATACTGAATGAGGTGTATTAGTTGGTGTTCTTAGATCATGGGATGGCTAATTATATAAAGATCGGGTTCTCTTTATGTTTCTTTCAAATTTTGAGGAACATATAAAGTTTTTTCTCAATAAATTTATATTAAATTATATGAATATTCTTTCGTATCTATTAACCTTAACGTTGAAAATGACTTTGATCAATTCACCTTGTTACTTTACTCTTCTATGTTCGATTCTTAAATAAAATATATTTCGGAGAAAATAGGGGTTTAGACACGTAATTGACATTAAGATATGAAATGATTTTCAATATCAACAATTGTAGTGTAGTGATCATTTGATTTCCTGCAAGTGTACGATATCACGAACAAGTAATAAAGTGATAAATAAAATATCGTTCATACGAGACTATATACTTAAGACTTTGAATCCACTTATTAATCCGTTTCAATGTAAATCAATAACAGGACAATATGTGCACATTTTTGTTGATCAATGTTCCTAAGTTAATTAAAAGCATATTTCGATGTCAATTAAATATGTCCTTTCATGTGACCTTCTTATATATCTATGAAAGATGCGATACAAGGCATAGTGATGTATCCCTATTCTCTATTAAACTTTACAATAATTGTTATAAAGTTCTATTTATCATATTCTTTCTCTCGAAATCAATAAAATTCACTATCAATCCTATTAGTGATTAAGTAATTGAAAAATCATTGAATCATATAACAATTATCCAAGAATAAATACATATTGAGCGTCAAATTATCAAATTTATATTAAAACATCATAACAAGGTCTTAGTAATTAAAACGCTAGCCTAACATTACAAAATCACAAGAAAACATGTTTAACTGGAAGAACATAACTCGGATTTTAGATTAATGAAGGAGAAAAAGATGGATCTTGAAATCTTGAATCTCTTCAATAGTTTCTTGATGAATGTCCAATATATCTTCTTGTCGTCACTTCAAAAATTAAGGTTGAAACTTCAATTTCTTGAAAACTTGTGATTGCCTTTTAAATCTTACAAGAACAATTGATTGGCCTATCTTTGATGATGTTAATTGATGAATTTTGGTGTATGAGATGTATCTTTGATGTATATTGTTGTTAGGTATTTGTAGGGGTCAAAAATTGGTTGAAAATTATGTCCAAATTAGTTTCTAAAAGAGTTTCAATCGAATAAAGAAAGTTGTCTTGTGCGCCCATGTTTTTATCTCTGCACATTCGTCAGTATTTTTGTCATAATTTTCTCTTCCAATATCTAATTGAAGCAATTAAAGGTGCATCGTAAAGCTAACTCAAATGTATACAACTTTAATAGCAATAGAAGTTTATCAATTCGAACGTTTACTACGTCAAAAAGGGTCACAAACTTTGGCTAAAAATCAGGAATATAACTTGTGCGATTGGAAATTGATTTTGTGATAATACTTTGATCATATATTATTACTTTTTTTACTTCTAATTGCATCTAGTCGACTCCTACCAATCTTCAAGTATCGTTTTCTGGTCCGAATCAACTATTAAATATTTACTATTTGGTCCTCAAACTTTGAATTTTGGTCCTTTTTCTTTCGTCGTTTTTCGATCCTTCTTCTAGTTTCAATTCCAATCATCGAGTTTCTCCTAATAAATGAAATATACACAATATTAGGCTATAATTTTTCAAAAGAACAACGAAATGTCAATATTTTAATGCCTGAATAAGTGTATATATACAATACACCTATCATGTAGGCTCAATAATTTTCGAGGACGATTTTGAACATGACGATGTCATAATATTTTGTTTCTTGAAATTGTTTAATAAGTTTTAAAAAAAAAATGTTCTTTTTTGTTCTACAACTAGAGGTGTTAAGATGGACGGGCCGGCCAGATCCGTGAAAACTGGACCGGATCGACTCGGGACCGCGGGTCGACCCGTGACCCGAGCAAACAGTTCACGGGTCAGGGAGGTGTAATCCGTGGGCTTCACGGGTTGCACCTTCACAGGACGCGATTAACCCATTGGCCCGTGAAAAAAAAATTTAAAAANGTATAAATATGAATTTATCATTTTGTTCAATTCTTAGTTTACATTTAACAAATAAAATTTCTTTTTGGCTATAAATATGAAAAATTCTATATTTTTATAATTTTATTTATACTATAATACGGACCAAATCGGAACAAACCACGACCCGCGCGACCCGTGACTCGCATGGGCTCGACCAGGATGGATCAGCTGGCAAGCCTGAGTTGTAGTCCAAAATTTGTGGACCGACCCGGAATCCGTAGCGGACGGACTTTTTTCCACGCGGACCGTTACTTGACTCATATGTTGACACCGGATTGACACCTCTATCTACAACATTTTCAATAATCATGACAAGATAATATTCTTTCAACATGATTTCATATAGTGTACTTTGACTTTTACTTTTGTCCTATACTCATTATTTCTCAATTTTCTTAAACGTTTCCTGATCTCACTTGCACGGAAATTAGTTTTCTTTCTCTAAATGAAAGTGGAAATTAAATGTTGTGTTGTTACCAGACAACAACAATTTTTGTTTGTTCCACTAGATTTTAATGAGTTCCTAATTTTTGCTTATTGTCACATTTATATCCCTAATTTTTTTCATCGAGGATTCTTGTCATTAACTTTAAATTAATTAGCACATCTTTCCCCTTATACTATTTTTGTCAAAATATTCTGTTAGCGTGTTTTAAAATGAAATCAAATATTTTATTGAAATTTTGTATTCATTTTTTTTCTTTTGCTTAAAAATAAGAGGGGTAATTAAGTTTTTTTTTGTCTTCTAACAGATATTTTGGATGGAAACTATCGCAAGGATAAGTCTACTCTATTAATGAAATGTTAAAACAAGATTACGATGAAAAAAAGTTGAGGATATAAATGCAACAATAAACAAAAGTTAAAAAACTATTGTAGTTAAAAATGTGATGCACTAAACAGTGTTACCTAACTACTTCTTCTTGGCCAAAAGATTGTACTAATAAAAGAATAAGAGAATAAAAAGAAGAAGATATGAGATTACATATAATTTTATTAATGTAATGATTAACACAATTAGGCTAGCACTAGCAAAATAATTAATTAAGCCCTGTTTGACAACTATTATTTCAAAACGCTACTCATATTTATTTTCAACTACACATTTACATAATACTAGTGTGGCAAACGTGCGTTGCACGTTAATAATTTTAATGCCTGAATAAGTGTATAAATACAATACACTTATCATGTAGGCTCAATAATTTTCGAGGACGATTTTGAACATGACAATGTCATAATATTTTGTTTCTTGAAATTGTTTAATAAGTTTTAAAAAAAAATGTTCTTTTTTGTTCTACAACTAGAGGTGTTAAGATGGACGGGCCGGCCAGATCCGTGAAAATTGGACCGGATCGACTCGGGACCACGGGTCGACCCGTGACCCGAGCAAACAGTTCACGGGTCAGGGAGGTGTAACCCGTGGGCTTCACGAGTTGCACCTTCACAGGACGCGGTTAACCCGTTGGCCCGTGAAAAAAAAAATTAAAAATTTTTGAAAAAGAGTAAGTGTCAGCCTAGTTGGAATGCACTTATGCTATAAATATTTGATAATAG